ATTAGAACTGTCTTAACAGCAGCTCCCCTTTTCAGTCATTTTCCTAAGTTTTCTCTTTTTAATTTATGTTTGCTTTCTAGCTATTGTTGCCTTCCACAGAGCCCTTGGTCTCAAATGGTCCCAAAAGAACAAGCAAAGATGAGTCAGCCTACTAAGCAGGTACAACCTAGTCTTTCCTCCCAGAATGAAGAGCAACCTCTGTGTTCTACTTCCAGTGCTGCATACCCAGAGCAGACTACTCCACATAGGCACACCCTGTGGGCTTCCAGTTGCTTAAAATGTCTGTAGTCCAGAATTTTCATTTGTGCTCATTCTCAGCACAATTGGCACTATTACCTTGCACTGGGAAGCATCATAAAGTAACAGAAAAAGCTTAATATACAAGCAAAATTACTTTAGTGGCACACATTTTTATGTACTTTTAAGCAGTGACGGTCATTTGGAATAATGGTCAGAAATATTTTTTTCTCCAAGATTCTTCTTTTTTCTCCCCTCCAGAATCTGAACTTCAATCACACTAGTTTTAGTGCCCAGTCTAGAACACAAGAAATGTTCATTCTTACAGATCATTTTAGTGTTGTGCATCTGTAGAAGACTCCTAGCTGAGTTCAAAACATTAAAGAAAATAAAGATGAGTACAGAGCTCTACACCTGTGAAGTCAGTCAGTAGTGAAAACCAGTTCTAAACATTTGCTCACATCTAATATACTGAGCAAGTGTTTAAGATTATACCCTCTGAATCTTTAAGATAGTTTTAGTAAGAAAAAGCTTAAAGGAACCTTCCCACAAGCTGAAGTGGAAGACTTCACCTTGCACTGAAATGAATGAGTCTGATCTCAGAATTGTAAGTCATACTTCAAGTCTCATGAAATGAGGCAAGGGATTTGGTCTGGTACCAGACTTTTGTAGGAAAAATTGTCTAACCAGTAACTAACTATGGGTGAAAGTTTGAACAGATTCAGATTTAAGAAACAGATAATGAGATTACTGCAAATCCTCTTAAAAGAATTCTCTCTCATGTCCTAAGATACCCTCTAGTTCCATCTTTACTAATAGAGTTTTGTTTCTCAATTGAAGGTTTCCAACGTTTTAAAGTTTTTCCCTCCCCCCTTTAAAAAAAAAAGTAAAGTGGGGCTGCGGAGGAAGGAAGAAAACCAATGTTTAGCACAGCTTTTTGTTACTACCCCAGCTGCAGCTATCTTTCCAAGAAAACAGCAATGGAGAATGACTAACAGTGATTAACATTTACATCCACAGGGGAGCGCTAAGCACACAGAAATGTCAGTTTAAAGTGCTTCCAAGTGTGCTCGTCATTTCTGGCTGGCACATTTTCTTGGAAATAAGCATCTGCAGCACTATCACATAGCAGCTCATTTCGTTATATGTTGAAGTTAACCTTTTAAATCCCAGCTCGATATTTGAATTTAAGAAATCCTGGTTTTAAGTTAGGCATTCTTGGAAGTTTGATTCGTAAATGCAGAGCACACAACTGTGTTCAAGTCATACTGATATGACAGAAGCACAACTGTAGCTTTTTGTTTTTAAAGTGCCTACACAGTTCAACATGTAGATGCTCTTCAATAGAGAGAAGGAACATTTTATTTAGTCAAAGTACAGCTGCAGCTCGTGACATCTGTAAGAGATCATCATAACTCCAGGAAAGATACTTACAAAGACATAACGAAAAACAGTGGGCCTTCACAGCCCAAATAGGCTTATAGTCAAGCATCTGGTACATTAAGATAATCCAAATATTCTTCTGTTTTCACTCCCTGCAATCCTTTTCCCTCCTAAGATGAAATCATATTTTCTGCTTCACAGAATCTATTTATGATGATCTCCAAGTTCTTAAAATAACTTTTATTTACCAGCTGGTTTGTATTGGATAGGATAGACTACTACAGCCATAAGCACTATCAAGTAAGTAATTAGTTAACCTACTTCATCACCATATATACAAAAGCATAAGAAGTCTTCAAGCACATCTGCACTATGTTTGCAAGAACAATTTAGAGCTATAAAGATAGTAGAGGAATTTTTTTTTAAATGTAAAGTAAGCACACACCCTTCTGAGGCATTTGATACAGTGCAGTAAAGTTAAGCACCTACGGTGAAACTGAGCTAGAACAGGAATCAAGTACTTTGAGCTAGGGCTGTCATTTACTTTTCTTCTGCATTACAACAGAAGTTTCTATCAAACTCAGCAGCAGAATGAAAAGCTCACACTTACCAACAAAAGCAAAATTTTACTTCATTCCATTTTTCTTTTTCCATGTTTTCCCTCATTGCAACAGCAAAAACCACCTAATCCTGCACGAAGAAATCCTAGTTGGCACATTACAGAAATCCCACTGAGACACAGCAGTGGCTATGCAGACAATTTGTTGTTATCTACACTATCCAAGTATTTGTTCAGCCAGCAGATGAATACCACTGCTTAAGCTCCTCACTGGAATGCTTTACCTCACGTTATTTTCAAGGCACAGGTAACAGCAGTGAAATCCATTCATGATTTCTAGGAGTATTACTAGAACTGTCTTAAGATGAACATATTTAAGATATCAAAGCCAGTATGCAGCTTCAGAAAATGTCATGCTCTGTGAAATTACACTGATATAACACCATCTTGCGAAGTTTATAGTCTCTTATTGAACTAATTCATTTGTACTTTCATGGAAGTGTTTTGATACCAGCTTTTTAGTTACTCAAGTTCTGCCAGGAGCAAGCAAATACACAGCCATGTTCACACACAAATTCCCGAGGCATATTTGAAAATTTTGAGCATCTTACTTAAAAAAAAAAAAAAAAAAAACATGAGCAGAATTTCTTTCTTAGCTAAGTTTTTACCAAGGATGTATTGTAAGGAACATGTTTTTTATTGTATTGTACTTCGATAATGCACAAAAATTTGAGAACATTAACATTTTTATGTACAACTTAGTTATTGATCCCCTTAACTAAAACAAAATATATATCTGAATAATCTATATTGCATTTTAATACTTTAACTGCACTATTTTAAAAACAAATTTTCAGAAACTATGTTCATACTTGTCACTCAATTCAAGACACTTAAAATAAACCTATTTCCTTTATACTAGTATAACTTCAACTCTTAATGCAGCTTTTGCTCTGCTATCAGGCTTAACTTGAAGACTTGAAAAAAAGAATTAACTACAGAAATGAATTGGCAAAGAGAGTATGTTAGTTTTCTAGTTTGCTTTCTCAACAATACAAAGCAATGCAAACAACAAGAACCAGGTTGTTGTTAATCAGCATTTCTATTACATGTTTACACTGGTAGTTTCTTACATTCTCAGCCAACATGCATATATAGCCATCCTAATTGAACTAAAACCAGGACAAAAAAGAAAAAAGAATTTGCACTTGGAGTTATACCACAGTGAAATGCAATCCCAAATGGTTTTACATAATAATTGAAGAAATGCTTCTGGTGTAGGCATTTACCTTGGCTTTTTTTTTTAATTAAATCACAAAAATGCACCAAAAGGTACAAAAACCAAATTAAATGCAGAACTATGGCTCCCAAGCAAACTTGCTACATAGTTTCAACAGGAAATAGCTACTAAAAGTTTATTTTAAATACAGCCCCATTCCAGATCCGGTCTCGCAAGTAGCTGAGATCTGTGGGACTTTTGCCTGAATTAAGAACAGTATGAGCACTCTTCTTCAGTTAAGTAGTTTTGTTTAACACGTCTACCTACACATCAGCATGTGCTTCTGTGTGTATGCATATACATACACCAACAGTCACTGTATAGCTATAGACACAAGGCCAAACCGCAGTCAAAGATTTAGACTTTGAAACTGTGCCCTTTTTAAAAAATAAAGTTCTAGGCTCCTTGAGCTGTGATGTTAGCAGCTATTCCTAATTTTGCAAAGTCATCAGGTAGCACAACAGTTTAAATATAAAATACTAATAAAAACATAGAAATTGGTACATTGTAGAATATACGGAAGGTAATAGTGGTAGTAGTATTTTAGGGTCATAAGATAGTCATACCCACAGAATGTAAAAAGAAGTCAAGGCTTGCTTCCAAGCTGTACCAGTCACACAAAGGTCTTACCTTCATTAGCAAGGATAATGCAACAAACCACTTCCCATAACTGTGTTTTTTTTTGTATACTTCGATACGTGGATATCATGCTTCTATATTTTAGCATGTTTTGGCCCTTACACTCCAGAACTCTGAGGATGAGATTTTTGGGTGCTTCTGGGAACGAGTGATAGTTAGCAATGAAAGTGTTAATAAAGTCTTTGGCACCTCTATCTCATTTGTAAAGCAAAGTCCTGCTCCATTTTCTTTAAGGAAAAATCCCATCAGCAGTGCATTCTACTAGCACATCACGCTGCACCATGTGATTACAGGAAAATAATACGAAATGGCAATATACATGTCTACAATTTATTTCCAATCAATTGCACAGACATTTGGTCCACTTCTTCAGTTACAATGTAGTCCTCTTGAGAACTTTGGTTACAGCATTAATATTTTGGTAAAAAACAGAGCAGATGCTTTTCTTTTCTTCAGGTAGATTTTTCATTGTCTTCTCCCGTTTTCTGAACCCGCGAATACTTTTTGCATGAAGATTTGAAGCAGCTGGGAGGCCAAGATATTGGCCAGGAGAAGCTGCAAGGAACAGATCCTTGCACGTTCTTCTCAAAGAAATAAAATATTGGATACCACCAAGCTCGAGAGAGAAAATTTGTCTGCGAAGAAACCTTTAGAGTCTGTATGGGCAGGTAAGGAAGAAAAGGACACAGAGACAAGAAGTTTAATTGATTATTGTGTTCTACAGCAGCAACAAAAAAATCTGCATTAGAAAACATCTGCAAAGACACATTGTCTTGCAGAAACACATGTGAATACATTGCATTTATTCTGAAAAAAGCAGTGAATACTCAGGTAAGATATGCAGCACAATACAAGCACGTACTGCAAACTAAGCATCTTAACACAAAGGGCAACTCTAATGCTATGTATTTTAGGGACACTATATAGTTTAGGGAGACAAAGCACCCAAGACTTTTTTGAACGAGCACCCTTTCAAGCATGTCATTTTTTCATTGGTGACTAATAGTTGAAAACTAGATTACAAGGGCTTTAGAACTAATATTCTACATTCTTACTTGAAAAGGTACCTTCTAGTGATGCTTACAGTTACTGCTATGGGAATTATGGTCTTGCTATTTTAGGTTAGAAAGAAATGTTTATCATAAGCTTAGATGATCAAGAGCTATTCTGCATAACCACAACAGCAATAACATAAAAACCATTTTCTTCTTGGAATTTCATAATGTCCAAATATCAAGAACACTTTAAAAAACTAACAGTTATAGATCAAAAAGAATATCTTAGAGCATGAAATATTTACTTAAGTAAAAAAAAAAAAATCAAACTCCTTGCCCAATTTGTTTTAACTTCAATACAGACTCTATTTTTACTTCAAAGTTAAGAGTCCATTTTGGCCCCAGGGTAGAATTAACAAATGCATGCCATACATTGATTCTAAACATATTTGCCACTCACCTTTTCATTAGCCATTGAGTGGTACCACCAGAAGAGTCGTGTAGTGATATAGTAAGCAATGATGACATCTACAGTGTAATGTTCATGAGCAACAAGGATACAAATTATGCCAGCAGCACTCATCAGCCAGCAAATCAAGTGATACCACCAGAAATGACGTGGTGAATCTGTAATAATAGGGAGGTGAAGGAAAAACAAAACCAAACATACATATTACTACAGCAATTCAGTGGGTAAACTGGAAAATGAGAAGAGATAGTTAAAGACTATTGAGTAGTAAAGCATACAACACAGACAGGTGATGAATAGATGCACTATCACTTGTTCTCTAGTTAGCTTCATCTCTCTTTCCACAAATCCTAGGAAAAACTCTTATTTTGTTTGCCTACTTTGAATCTCTGGTCCTGTTTCTGTCTTCTGTACTTCAAGTAACATATATTCAAGTCAAATATCTAGAATCAATGTAAACTGTGCAGAGATCACAGATTAAACAGGGAAAGAAAAAATACATCCTTACTTTAATTCTTAGTTTCAGCTACTTTACTCAGATATCTACTCTGAAACAATACTCCATATGGAGAAACACAGTATGCAAAGTTAATTTTTAATGAAAGCATAAGAAGTGAAACTAAAACTATTTTTCAAAACACATTTAAGCCACTTAATGGCTGAACTTCCCTCCCTTTCTCTACCCATTGGAAAATATCTTGAGCATTGCAATGACCATTCATAACTTCTGAGAGGTTAACGGGCTCCATTTCACTCACAGTGGGAAGTTTTGATAACCCTTCCCTTGTGGTCTAATGGTCAGCCTTGAATTTAACACAATACTAGCAGATTAGCTACTGATCTGAAACCTATCTAGCAGCGCTTTGATAGTCCTGTTCAAAATAATGCCTACAGAAGCAATTTGCTTTGGTGCATATGCCAGAAATAATGAGTTCTCAAATTCCTCTAAACATTACAGACAAAGCTAAACTCAGTGACTTAAGAAAAAAAGTGAAGCAGAAAGGATGGAGCAAAAAAAAAAAGTCCCAGACTGAACTAGAAAAAAATTGAATGCATCTTTTGCTGATACGTGTCACATAAAAATATGCAACTTAAACAAATGCAGTACGTAAAATACAGTTCAGAGCAAATCTGTTTCTTAAGACCTTACCCAGCAGATGTTTTGCTAATTATACAGGAAACAGAAATAAGGAAAGCTATGCATCTCTCATGTACCGAGCACGAGAGATAGAGCACAACTACACAGATAAACATCCTTAGCAATTAGGCAGCAGAGAGGTCATTACAATGACATATATGATACTAGTCTTCCAACCTGTTACGATAAAAGCTAAGAATTATACTGTGCCCCTAAATACTGAGTCCTCTGCATTCTTCCTTGTACTAAAGCATATTGGAACAGCATGCAGCTCCAATTACATCCACAAAACAAAGTAAAAAACAAATCAATTCTTAGGCTATTTTCCCAATAATGTTCTGATACTTTTAATGAGTTGCATATTCCATTCATCCAGTAACATTCACTTGAAGACCTAATTGATTGGTTTGATGATTCTTATCTTAAACTACTGTTTAAAAACCATCTTGAATCTACAGATTTCAAGACTGTGATGTTAAAACTAGTATTTTTAGGTATTTTTCTTAATTTATGCTTCTTTATAGCATAACACTGCAACGTATCTCCCTCAACATTTTAATAAGTAAGGAATTCAACTGATGCTGGCTAATCATATTTCACTAAAAATAACATATTACTATCATCCAAGCTAGCATTTGCATAGGTTGGAATTTTCTCTTACTGTCATACTCCAATTTGTAACATGTAAACTGAAGAGGAAACTCTTCACTACTGTATTTATAAGCAAACCCCTAGGACAGAAGTACAGCTTACCATAGATCAGACTCAGAAGTAGGTGCTCAGTTCTCTACAACTGGAATCAATGTTGCGTGTGCAGCAAAGATAATTCTTCACACTCCCCATATCTCACAATACTACACAACAAAAAGGGAAGTCGTAACCCCAATTATGCCTCCTATGTGCTTGCCAAACTCCTATCAAGTTTAAAGGTATAAGAAGAGACTCTAGCAGAAGACATCCAAAGAGTAAAACACCCTCAGCTTTCCACTGCTTGATATAATTAACTTACTGTACACTTAAAGAAAGAACATTGCTTCTGGATGTAGTATAAGTGTGCAGTGACCATGTAATCAAGCCACAGAAATCCCCTTCAAACCCACAGCACAGCAGCCAGCCAGCCTTCAATAAGGTTACCTTGCATATTTAATTTCAGTGTTTTGAGCCAAAATTTGAATAAGCTGTCAATGAACAATGAAACGCTAGCTTGCTTCAAAAAAAACAACTCACTTTTTATGAAGCTAGAAGTCAAATGTCTTAGTCAAATTAAGCCATTAAAATTCATGCCGTTTTATTACACTTATGTTCCATTTTTACTCTGCAAAGTCACAATTTGTTTTCATGCATGTAGATGTACAGTTTGCGTACAGTTGACTGATAAATTCTAGAAGGCAACAGTTTTACATGCACTTTTACTGTGTGCTTTTTAGTACAACAGATGTGAAGAATGAGAGTGTATTTAAATATACCGTAACTTACACTCTTTGATGAACAGGTAGATCAGTGTTAGTACTACAGTGTGACCACTGAACAGGAAGTCTCCACACAAGATGTGAGATCCAGTTATGGATAGACCACCACCAGATATCAGTCGCAGGATCCTCTGCACCTTTGCCTGAGAATCTCCATTCAACTAGACCACCAGAAAAAGAATGCAAGAAGAGTTATGATACAGAGTAAGTAATGTGAATAAACTTCTTCCCCAACAATATGTGGAGTTAGGAATAAAGTGACACACATCTTTATTCCCCTCCCGTCCCGCATTTTCAATTTACTAAGTTTAGAATTACTAATGAAGGAACTACCTCAGTACTTATTCAGATTTAGAGCAGGGTTGTTTTTTTTTTTTTGTATAATTGCGATGGGTTGTTTTTTTCAAAAAAAATGTTAGGCAAACACTCAGTATCACCTAGCCCCATAAGGATAACTCTAAAAAGAACAAAGATAAGAGATTATCAAGTTTTTCAGAATCAGAAAGAAAATATTCATGTGCATAAAAGAAATAATCCAAGTGAGCTATCAAGTCTTTCAGATTTTGATTAAACCCTCTTCTTTTAATGGCAGAGAAGTATTTTTGCTGGAAGGGCATATAAGCTTTCCTTGTCTCTACCCTTCCCACCCCTTGATAAAGCATGCTACAGGCAAAATAATTTTGCAAGCTATTAGAGAGAAACATTTGAGGAGCTCTGCAACAGTGAAACGTAAATTAAATTATGCATCTTCAAATAGATAGAGAATCGTAAGAAAGAAACATAGCAGACAAAAGAGTTAAGTCAAGTTGTCCCAGTTGGAAATAAAAAAAATGGAACAGGCACAATGCTATGCCTCAGGACTGATGAGACCCTTCCCAGGAATTGTCATATTTGCTTTAGTATTTGCTCTAATGAGCCATAAAGACTCAGGTAAAGATTAAGATAAGAATTAAGAAACAAAGGCTCCTACCTTTGGTGCACACTGAAAATGCATTCCAGGCACAGGTAAGGTGGTAACATACATAGTAATGCAGCGGTACAGGTACAAAGTTCCTATTATAAAAAAAAACCTGCGTCCCACAATTGATCTGAAAGCGAGGGGAAAAAAAAATTCAATTCAAAAGATCACATACACGATATATATCTATATTTATATATAACAGTTAGGAACTCTAGTTCTACTACTTTATCTAGTTTAGATAGTTAAGTCACTAGAATTACAGAGCAGCTTTATCTCCTGCTCCTTGCCACACTGTTCTCTAATTATCAAATACTAAGAAATGTTTTTTCTGTTTCAGTCTTCATTTTTACTATATTAAGACATAGCAAATACCATAGGGATCCTACTATACCTAACCAATTTAGGTGTGATGTCAGGTACTATCTTCCTTGACTCAGTGACCTTTCTTCATCTCACATTTTAAAAGTCAAACATAGGTTTATAATATCTATAGCTTAAGCAAATGACAATGGAAAAAGCTTCTAGTTTAGCTGTAGGAAATAATGGCTTTCTCCTCAGATTTAAAAAAAACATCACCATGATTTTCTCTCTTTAAACACCATCATTTCAATAATCACACTCTCAAAAAATCAATTCCAACATAAATTTGTGTCAGATTCAAATCATGAGACACTGCACAAACAGGAGACACTCATATTTCTGTATCCAACACGGACACAAACATTTTCTAATTAGGTCATCCTTCTATCAATTTTCTGCCAGCTCTGTTCTATAATATTGCTACAGATTCTACCACAGATTTCTTCTACCCAAATCAAATGTGAGAAAGCAATGTTTGGGAAGCACACAGCAGGTGAAGACAGCTACTTACTTATATCTAAGAAATAACCACTGGAATATCCACAGTCCAACTAGTATCATTCCATTTATTTCTGATACAGAAAAAGCCCACGTCACACGATCAATATAATCAAAAAATTTGTCAGGCAAGGGAGGGCTCCGCTCTTTTGGAGGTACTCTCTCATGGACCACAGTGATCATGACAGTTGTTAAAATCAAGTTGAAGAGAGCATAGACAAAGGCAATGCCTGTTTTCCACCATTCCAGAGGAAATTTGTTCCTGGATTCAGCAGGCATAGCAATCTGGATGTAATCAGGATATTTCTTTGCCGTTTTTCGCAAGCCATTGGACAAGCCCTTCGGTTTGTTATTGCCATTTTTGTTCTCCTCATTGACTGAGAGAGTAGGTCGCGTGTATCCATTAGCAGAATCATTGTTCTGACCCTCCATATGGTCTTCAAGTTTTGCGGTCTCAATAGTATTCATTCCCAAGCTGTAGGGTTAAACCAGGTTTTATGAGTGACTGATTCTGAGGAGCTCCTTAAAGCCTCTTATTCCGTGAAGTCCAACGTTCCTGTTCCTAGATGATTTTTTATTACTGGCAAAACTCTTAAAAAGTGTCCATTGTGCCAAAAGATAGTGTAAAGCAAGTTGTGGAGACAAGTCTTTTTCCCCCCCCTTATAGCTCTACTACCTGCAAACAAACAAACAAAAAAAAAGAAACTTATTGAGAACCAAAAACATTTATTTGTATCACTTTACATATGCAGTCAAAAGAAACTAAAGAAAGGTGGTTACTATAAAATAATTCAAAACAATTCCTGTCAAGTAATTTCATATATGATTGGTTTAGGCACTAGTATGAATTCTGGCTTTTTTCCAAGTAGACAATATGAACACATTTTAATTAACAGCACTCACTTGTTAGAATTAAAGCGAATCTGTTTTTGCAGCACTACTGATGTTATTACTCAAAAGCATTTTGTACAAAAGTTATCCCTTTTGGATTACAGATTCACTCTATATTACACCTTGGTTTATCATATAGATCAGTAAAACTTAGTTCAGATGAAATAAAACAGAAATGCACTACTGTATTTGATTTATTAAGATCGATTAACTACAAAATTCACTCAATGGATAGCTCCATTAAGTCTCCTTGGACCCAGAATAACTATTTCAACCAAAAGAGTCCCAGTGCACCTTCAAAGCTGTTGTAGCACCCACTAAACATCTGATTTTTCGGAGAACTGAGAAATACTTCTGTATCAGGCACTGTGTTGTGGAGATCACCACATAGAATAAAATATAATTGATCTTTATTTGTCCTTAGGTTACTTAAAAATGGGTCTAAGACCATGTTCCAAACAGGAAGAAGTAGCAAGATCCACTACAGCACAGAATTTATTCCAATCTGATTTTGTTAATACAGACAAGTCTGACTGCTCCACCACAGACTTGGATTTATGAGAAAACTGTTTAGAAAAAAACCTGTTTAATAATTTCTCCCCATACAGCAAGGACAATCAACTCAACCAAATCTGGAAAGTTGTTTTCTGTTTGTTTTAAGGAAAGATATTAAACATAGTCAGCATACTAGTAATAGCAATGGGATTTACATGCTATCTATTTGCATTTCTCACTGCCTAAAGAAAGAAGGGGATCGTTAACTGCTCCCAAGTAAAGTAAGATTCATACAATTTTTCACGTGTTTGGAATCAGGTATAAACATTTGAAAGGAAGAAAAGAAAGCACGATCTCCGGACTGTTCTCAAAAACTGAGTTTTTGAGAACAAGATGACTGTAGGTGGAGATCAGCAAGGGCATACTACAACTGCCTTCTCCCTGTTAACATCACACGTTTATTTAGATCAAAGTATTGTCTGCTCACATGAATCAGTATGTTTATTAGTTACAGTGAAAATATAAAACCCAGTTGGAGTAGTCAAGGGAAAAGCAGCCCACTCAATGCCTATTTCAAGTTTATCAGTCTGCTTTCTCCATTTTAACAAGATTTGATTTCAAAAGCAAGTAAGTCTACATCAAGTAAGCTGCTCTATAGCAGGTTTCTTTATGCTCACCTCCTACATATCTACCCTTTAATTAAATAGCTTTGAAATGGTGCCTCATTTCTCATGGCTAACTCCTGAAGATCAGCAACAGAAAGTGAGCTTTTATACAACAACAGGTATCATTTCAGTTCAGTTCTGGGATTTCATTAAGTAAAAATACTGTGATATGCACATGGGAACCTACTGATCCACAACTCTAGATTCCTGTAGCACCATAGCCTACAGAATGACTTGTTTCACACTCCTATAAAATGGATACGGGAAGAAGAGGAAAAACAACTTTTCCTCTGCTTCAAGAGCAACACAAAACCATTTACTCTTATCTCATTGAGCAGAGCTCAGAATTCTCCCAAGCTTACTGTTCTTACTAATAACAGAAGTATACTGCATTGATAGAAAAATGTATTCTACGGACAGAATAGTAACAGCTTAAGCCTCTTCATTTAAGAAATCCTACAAGCTGACTGTTGCTTTCTGATTCCTGAAAGATGTGTTTCTCAGCAGTACTGTACACTCCCAACCTGAAAATATGACCACACTTTTGTATTAATTGTACTAATCCAAAGCCATACAACAAGCATGGGAAGAATGTTTTCCCCACATACACCAACACAGCAATTTTAACCCTCAAAATACAACATCAGAGCTTTTTAACAAATGAAGCCACACTGCTCCAGATTTTCCCATCAAGAGTTTCAATGTAAAAAAACATTAATGAAACATCACACTGATGAAGCACCCATGAGTGAAACCCTTCTGGTTTCCTAACACTTAATCTCTCTCTCATGTAACTGTTTCTAAGATCACTAAATCACTGCAAACAAACTACATTCCTTTTGATCACTGAAGATCAAAAAAGCACACATGCCTTACATTCTGCATGCTGAAAAGAAAATGAAAAGTTACAAAACTAAAAACACAGCTTCACAGCTTTAAGAAGTTATTCCACAACAGAGGAAGTCAGTTTAACAGTTAAATCACCAAGTTCTTAACACCGAAAGCACTTCCTGACTCTTCTGGCTTTCTGACTCAACTAAGAAAGCATTACAGCTATTTCACGGCACCTCCTTAGTTGTTTAGCTACAGGAGTGAAAGGAGTTAAGTGGCATCTCCACTGGCTTCCCCGTGCCCAGCTGTATGCTGTGGTCACACAGCTTTGAAGCCCACCTCCCAGCACTTTCTGCTCTTCCCCCAGGTGCACAAGCAGGTAGCACTCAGATGCTTACACATTCTTGTTCAACCTGCTGTGCAATTCCTCCTAACGCTTGTGGTGCATTAAGATTCTGTGGCAGAAACGGTAATGCAACATTCAAGAGGTTCTCACGCAGAAGCAAGGGCTGAGCTACAGCACACACACCTGCAATTCCACTCCACTTCCCCTAGAGGGAAAACTACTAGTCAAGTAGTCTTTGCTAGTGAATGACACGCATTCTGGAAAAGGCCTGAGGAATTTTTAAGAACCATCTGTTCCACTTAACTGAAAGGGAAGATAAAGGCAACCTCAAAATATCTCAAACCCATTGCCAAACAAGTAAAGGTTCTGATCTGTATCCTTTTTGAAGTTTAGCTTCTTGAAGCAGCTTTCGGCACTGGAAGTAGCTGATCATGATGCTATGGTACGCAGCTGAAACTCAAGGAAAAATATTATTGCCTATAATCCACCATTTTTTGTTGGCCTTCATGTTTTTGAAGACACTTAACATTCTTGTCATCTGACATTGAAATCAGCATCACATAGAAAAGACAACGCTGATAAAAATGTTTCTATTTATGTCACACTTGTGGTTTATTCTCAACTCTTCTCCCACTTAGGAGCTTGCACTACCTTGCACTTGATTCTACACAACACCATGCAGAGGAATTTTTGTTTCCCATTTCTTCACCAAATTAGATTTTTCCCCTCCAGCCAGAAGAAAAATCCAGAGAGATGCAAAGCTCAGGAGTATCTTTAAAATCCATTGTAAAATACCAGTGGCCTTAGAAAGTGCCTAATTTCATTCCCTAAACCGTACCATCAGTTTTTTCTTCTCTCAAATTATTTTTTCTATTCCTGAGCAATCATACTTTGATGAGAACATATTGAAATGAAAAGAAGCTTACTCTAAGATTGACAATGCATTGGATGGACAAGAGCCCCAGTTTGTGTTCATAGACTTTCACGAAGCAGGATCACAATCAAGACTTGAGTCAAGAGTTCAGATACTGCTCAGTTCTTCATGGGCTCATAGACACTTTAAAATCAGAACTCTTTTCGAAATGTATGCATCTTTAGTCCAATGTAAATACTAAGAACTTAAAGAAGTTTTTTGTCTACGTAAGCAAGCCAGTAGCAGAGATGCCCAGATGTTGTATGCTTTAGAACTGTAAACAATTCAGTCTTAAAGGCCAAAGAAAATCAAAACAAACAATAACATAGCAACATAGAAGCAGAGTGACATGCAGGCTTTTATATTAACTTATTAAAAGCCGTTATACCTACAGCTTCCAGGACAACACAATGTCTCTCTCTGGTACTTCCAGAGGACTGCAAGGCATATCGATCTACCATTTCTGATGTCTCATCAAAATTATTTCAAGCTAAGAGCATACTGTGAACTCAGAATAAAATTTCAGAGTACTATATCATTTGAACTGTAGGAACTCAAAGGCTTTTCTTCCCTCATAAGGACTGAGTCTATTTTTCTCATATTTTCAAATAATGCTTATTTATCTTACCAATTAAAAAAATAAAAACAAAAACACTGGCCTTGTCTGAAGCTTGTACTTCCTTGTTGCCAAATTGACTACCCAGAAAAGTGACAGACACAAGACTAATCATCCTCTGATTCAGTCTGAAAACTCTACAAATGCACGCAAGTTTCTCAGCAAAAAACAAGAAGAAAACCAAAACCAACACACACAGATCCCCACCTATGACCCTACAACCCACAGGGCATTTATTCCTTAAAGCTTCCATATTGTCCTTACATTAATGTGAACTATCCTATTTCTTTTGTGTAACCTGCAATGCCCCTATATTAAGAAATAGGAGGTGACCACAGACTGTTAGGAGTAGGCTTTAGACTTCTTCAGTACTGGATACCAATGCTCAGACATGACTAACTGGCAAATATCCAGGGTTTGGAAGGAGAAAAATAGACGTTAAACTACTCTAACCTACTGAATGTTCATGGGGGTGGGAGAGGAGTTGGGGCAGAAACCATGACAAAGACTTGCACAAAGCCAGCCAAGTTATCTCTAGGGATAAGCAGAATTCCTACAACGGATACACCCAGGTTTTAGAAACAAGGTTGTTTTTTTTTGAAGCCAGTTCATTATTTTCTAAACACCTACCTTCACCAAGGAGCAGAACTTTCCAACCAGCAATATTACAAAAATAGTAGTGATTACAGAACATATTTCAGGGAAAAATTCAAGAGTGAAGAAGATACAAGAAGAGCAAGGCATTCTTAACGATTTTTCCTGAGCTTCTATTTGCTCCTGTACATGTAACCCCTTAGTTTTCTCTGTTTTCTCTTAAATGATAGTCAAATGGAGATAAGTAATTCGGAGTACGAGAAAGCACGTCTAGATTTAGCTCTTCATGATAGAACTTAATACCAAGCAATTTTATTTAGGTTCT